GTAAATATATATATAGCAGAAGAAATTGCAAAAACAGATTTCTGTAAAATGGTAGGTGATAGATTAAATTACAGGTTATTTTCATGATTAGCAGCCTAATCTATAAGATACTTTCCAAAGTGTTCAGAAAGCAAAATCTTTATTGTCCAATCTAATCAGATTTTTTTTTACTACAGCTTTATAGCTGTGGTCGCCATGTTGGATAGTCCTGATGACAGTAGCATAATAAAATATCTGAAGTACTGCCAAGTATTTGTACTGACTTTTTTGTATGGTTTATATGGCAAAGGTTTCCTATGAAATAAAGAAAAGCCAAATAAGATGCAATATGGGTAATCCTCGTTTAAACTACCACCATTGGGCCTGACAACTTGATAGCTAAGTGACATGGTTGCTACATGGAAAATCACATGACTCTGACTATTTATAATTTTATTTCAGCTTTTCTTTTTTCTCACTTCTCTATTTTTTGAAATGCTCACTCTGGTTCTGGATTAATTAGTAGGAAGGAGATTAATGTTTGGATTTACATTCATTGAGAGGATGAGATTACAAAGGTATAAAGGATTATAAGAGAGTAAGAAGATACACAGCAGGAATATACATGAAAAGGAATGTGCTGGCATTGGCTGTTTGCTTAACATACTTGAGGCTGCAGGCCAACACATTAGGCAAACACACACAGAGAGAGAGAGATATATATTGTGTACCTGCTTACTCTCCCACAATCCCTTCTTCTCCAATGTTAGCGGGGAGGGGATAGGAAAAAATGGGTTAGGCATAGGAAAGATTGCCTTAAAAAGTGATCTCTTTAGACATCTCTCCTGTGTCTCCACCATTTTTCCTCCCCCCTACCTCCCCCTGCAGACTGAGAGATTGGAGAGGAAAAAATTATAAGAGAATAAGCAGCACACAATGGGAAATACATATTGAAAGGAATGTGTTAGCTTAGGCTGTTTGGCTAACACACTCACAGCAGTACTGATTGCAAAAGATCTTTTAAAACTGATACGTTGTTCAAAATAAATTAATCCCAAGGTGCAGTCTTGTTTTACTTTGGTAAATTATATTTCAATTACAACTTAAAAAATAAAAAATGCTGAGAGTTGCTTTTTTACCAGTCTAGCTAGATAATGTTGGTTATCCTGTTTCTGAATCAAATCTGTAATAAAAGTTTAATTCCCTGAATACTTAATTTTTTTCTCTATCCTCATTTTTGGGGGGCCATCTCATTCATTTCCTTCAAAGAAAGATAAATTTCTCAATTCAACTAGTAATTTATAGTCAAAAAATAAGTCATCTTTTGTTTTTCTCCTAATTCTGCTTTTTTGATAAAAGAATTGGCCTTATAAGTACAAATAATCCTCAACTTACAACAGTTTGTTTAGTGACTGTTCAAAGTTACAACAGCACTGAAAATAGTGCCTTCTGACATTTTTCCCACTAAATGACTCTTGCAACATCTCATGGTCACATGATCAAGTGCTTAGCCAACTGACTCATATTTAAGACTGTTGCATGCCCCAGGGCCATGGGATCCTCTTTTGCAACCTTCTGACAATCAAAGTATATACTTAACAACCATGCTACTAACTTAACGACTGCAGTGGTTGACTTAATAACTGTAGCAAGAAAGGTCATAAAATGGGGCAAAATTCACTTATCAACTGTCTCACTTAGCAGAAGAAATGTTGGGCTTGTGGTTGTAAATTGAAGACTACCTGTATTCAGATTTGCCAGATATGTTTTTGATGAAACCTAAGCAAAGAAGAAATTGTGTTTTTCATCTTGTTGTTTTCATAGTTCCTGCTTCTATTCATCTTTAGAATCTTTTGCTCTTATTATTTTGTCTCATTGACCTTAGCCACCCACATTATTGTGTTTATAGATACTTGTGATGTCATCACACCAGGGGTCACAATGTTATGAGCAAAATCATAGGTTTTGGCTAGATGGTGAGATAAACAGATAAGTGAGACAAAGCATGAAAATAAAGAAGAGATAAAACTTGCAAACATGCAGCTCTTATTGAAATTAATACTAAATACTAAAAAAATAACTTCATAAATTGCTAATTGGCACGAGAGGAAAATAGCTTTTGACTCAGCTCTAAGAATACTTAACATCAAAGAATTATAAACAACTTTATAGTTGAATGATGGAATAATATTATTCCATACCATGCAATAAGAGCCATATATTTGAAGAAATCTCTATTTGATTTACATGTTAATAATTAAACTCTGGGGACTAGAAGTAAACACTGTAGATATTACTGAATGCAAGCATTTATTTTAGAATTTTCATTTACATGTGTGTGTGTATGTGTGCGCGTGCGCACGCACATCAATGCATACATACAATGATTCTAATTCCATTTAGTTTATTCTCCAGCATATAATGTTTATAAATTAATACAGAGCACACGTATTTGCCTAGGTCTCTGAAACTAGCCTGTACAGTGCTTTCACAGTTTGACTTGCTTTTCTAATTAATAAGGATATTGACTTGGTGGGAATGAATGAAATAATTAAGTACTAATTAAAATTACCCACTTACATGATAGACAGCTTGATTTGTCCTCTGCGCTCTCATCAACACTGAAGCACATTTTGCTAATTACCTGGCCTAATTTTCTGTTCCTTAGATTAATTTCATTGAAATGTAACTGTAACACTTTTAATTGTGACAAATATTCACTAGATGACATTGCTGGAAATATAGTTCTTTTGCTGTCATTATAGCTAGGAAAGGGAAAGACTATTCCTATTGGAGGGTTTTGATATCTTGAGTGTTAAAAATACCACTTCACTGTTTTTATTGATACTGATACAATAAACATAAGTAGAATATAACTTTGCGATATGAGTGAGCTTATGCAGAAACATCGCAGCGGGGAAGTCAAAAGATGAAAGCTTCAATCCTTGAACAGATACATTTAATATCATGATATTTGCACAAAGTGGGCTAGGGTTATGGTGTATAATGTAGCTTTCATCAATTGATGTCTCTGAACTTCTACTATTACTTTCAGGAAAGGAAAAAAATTGCATTTGAGAAAAATAGTTGAATAAATTACTAACTGACGTGTTTATTAATATTTAAGGAAGATTACCACAGATTGTGATGGTACTATATAATAAAATAGTCATTGATTATCTAGTACAAGAGAAGTTAAATTAGGAAAAAATGTAAATTGGGAAATGTAAATTGAAAGTTGCAAACAGATTTTGTTCTTCTTATACTTTATCTGTGACAAAGATAAAGGAACAGAGAAAAGGGGCTATGGACAATGATCTAATATATATAGAACACATAAATATTGTTTTTATAACTTACAGCATTAATAATCAGGAGCCAAAGCTGGGTCATGAATTGGATCTCAAAGTATCATAATCTGTACCAAAGTACCATTTTTAGCATTCATTTGATCTTTAGTGGGGGGGGGAGGTTTGAAATAGAAAGGAAAGAAACTAATTAAAGAGAAACCAAAGGGGAGCAGGAAACCAGAATGCAACCATAAAAATAAACATAGGTATGATGTTGCACTCTGAAGTATAAGTTCAGAGTTGAATATGCTATGCTAAATGCTATTGTTACAGAGCCTAACTAGGTTAGGTGTAGAACAATGCTGAAGAAGAGTTATAATTCAAAGCTACTGCCGTAACAGTGCTATATATTTATCTTGCTTTTTCTCCAGGGATTTTAGGGAGGCTTACATGGTATTCATCTCTACTATTTTATCCTCATAACAACCCTGAGAAGTAATTACTATCTGAAAAGATCCAAGGAACTTTTTGGCTGAGTAAATACTTGAACCAAATCTCCTTCCTTGAGCCTTTACCCAGTATGCAGGAATGGTTATCAAAGAATTTCAATTTGTTTACTTAAGTTTACTTTATAGATAAAAGCCATAACCTGAAATGTCTGCCCAGAGCAGGATGCCTATGATTTTATAGTTGTTTAGATGGCAATGAATTACTTGATCAGGATTCTACATGTTGCAGCTCATTTTCATAATCTTTCTGAATAGGCAGATGTCAGAAAGTGTTTGATGGCCACTTTATTCAATAACCAAAGAATCACTGTCCTTCAGCACAAAAATGAAAATCATTATGGATCTAGCTGCTGAATAGGTCTCCTAGAAAAAATATTATGAAGTCCATTGTTAGAAGAAAAAAAAACTTGATTTTACTTCAGTAATTAATTAAATAGATTGAAGGAATACACAAAGAGGTCTCTAAGGTGCTGTAATATTTTTTATTGTTTTTAGACTCTGATTCTCAAGGATATTTATTTGAGAATAGGTTGCCTTGAAGATGATTTGCTTAATTCCAAATGAATGAGTTTGGATTTGAATCTTATTATTAAGTGTGTTTATTTCCTGTCTTTCATTTAAGGGGTGTTAGACTGGTTCATGTTTCTTTTTCCATGACTCTTTCTGCTCTTTCTCCCTCTTTAGCTATCATGTTATGAGAATAATCAGGGTTAGAGACAGGGATTGGTGTTAGGCCATGGCTTGATGCAGATGTGAATGAATGAATGAATCTATGCTCTCCGCTCTTGGTCCAACATTATATAATAAATGACTCTGGGAGATATACATGGCAGAAATACTCTTGTATACATATTTCCCAATATCTACGAACCCTTGTAGTTGACATGTCATACTTGATCCCCTAAATGAATCATTGCATGACCAAGCAGCATGGCCAGTAGTGGACCAGCCTTATGGTTATCTTCCTGCATTTTAATTTATTGCAAAGTTTACTAACAAAGCTGTGCTGAAGTGTGTTTTTCTTCTCATAATTCTTTTTTCTATTCCTTTTTAGTGTTCCCTGTCTAATTTGTTTCTTTTCTATTTTTCAGAATTACTTAAGTATTGCTTTCCCATTGATGTTGTCTTGTATTACACTCTTCTTCGTTCTCCTTTCTTTTTTAAAAATCTCTTATCTTCACTGATCTGTTTTCTTTTTCCCCCTACTCTGGAATTTCATAAGAAGATCCTATTTATGCACAGAAGAAAGGTATTATTAAATGGTCAAGAAAGGCTTATATTTAATTTGCTGTTGTATAACTTTTCCTAGTGCTAATTCTCAGAAGCTTTCAACCTCATATCTTCCTGCCAAATTCTCAAAATTGTATTCTTATATGCACTTTTCTAAACTCATAATAATCAAATGACTACTTAGAAATAGATATGGGGACCCTGTAGCCCTTCAGACATTGTAAAACAATAACAAAACAGCATCCCATATTGTCAATAATTGATGAGAATTTTTGTTACACAACAACTAGAGAAGAATAGGTTGCTCAGTTCTCTACTAGGCAGACGTAGATCACTGTTGACTAATATTGTATAGATCAAGTAGATTGTGGTATATTTGCATCCTAAAAACAAATTTGTCTTATTCAAATTAAAAACGGGTTTTGTGTGTGTGTGTGTGTGTGTGTGTGTGTGTGAAAATGCATTTCAAAGAAAATATGCCGCATGGAGGCTGCTGAATCTTTATAACCTACAGCTTTAATACAAATAATCCCCCAAATAGTACCTTTCTTAACCAGTTGGATGTCACCTTCCTTGATTAAGTCATCTTCCACTATCCACTTTGTGCACGATTTGCTCAAAATTACAATTACTGACTGGGTTGCAGCTAATCATACTAAGTTATGTCATTAAGAAATGAAAATGTCTTTACATGTGCCATGATACTATCAAGCTTCACCATGAATGGTGTGGAAACTTGGTTAAGGTCATGAAAAATTAAAGAGATCTAAAATTTGGTTGCACCAAGATATTTCAAACTAGTTTCCAGGGGAACCGCTACTTTAATAAATATTTTTAACTGCATGGTATTTTTCTGAATTTTCTGAATTATTTTGGAAGAACTCTCCATCTAAAAGCCTTACAATTGCTTTGATGTTAATAAACTCTTTTTAATAGCAATTAATACATTGACAAACCAGCTCAGTATATATCACTGAGTGTAAAACTTTAGTGGGCACACAAATTTGCCAATTGCTTTAATAAGCCAATTGAATTCTTGAAGTACTGAGTTCTGCTTTGTTATATTCCGTAATGCATTTTATACACTTGCAATATTTTAAGCAATGCTATGATAAAGGCAACTTTGCCTTTTTGAAATTTACACTGGCTACAGCATTTCCTTAGCATAGAAATCTAGCTTTTCATTAAGCAGTACAATATAGATCTTCTGGAGCCATTTTGGTGTCAGGATCCAAAATTTAACATCTGTTTGTCATTGGCCAAATTTAGAACTTTTCCTAGAATGAAGTTATTCTGACACATGGATCAAACCAAAACCCACCCATTCCTATCACTATTTATTTAATTTCATCCAGTTCTTAGACTGTCCATGGGTCCCCTCCACAATGAAGAAGAGCTTTCAGTAGAATGCTGTCACTCAGAAGTGTTTATAGTACAGTTCCCTTGGCAGAGTGGTCAACATATTCATATGCTTACTTTTTTTTCTGGAGAAGAGGAAGCTAGGAAAAGAAAACTGGCTGAACACTTCCCATTCTCCCATCTCTGCAAATAGTCCCTAATAGAAAGAGTAGATATACATTTTAAATATTCTACTTTCCTGTAAGTCCTACATAAGCTGTGAAACCCAACTGGATTGTCAAGACTCTCAGGAAATTACCAATAGAGGAGAAGAATTCCATCCATCTTTAAAGCCCTTCCAGACATGGGTTTAGGTTACTTGAGGGACAGTCTCACCCCACTGGGATTGGCGTGTAACACTTGTGGCAACAGAGAAGGCATGCCAGCCCAATTATTCTGGCCTTCTCTGCTGTTTCTCCTTCTCTCTGGAACATCTTGCCTCCTGATGTGAGGTTGGCCCCAACCCTCCTATCCTTTCATAAGGGCCTAAAGATGTGGCTCTGCCAGTGGGAGAACAGTGGAAGTGGTTGGTTGAGTAACAACAGATACCACCTCTCCCCCACTCCGTCCTCACTCTCCTCATGTGTCTTTAGGTTTTAATGTTACTTTAAATTATTTATGTTTTAACTGTATACGTATAGATACATTTTTTATGATTGTAAGCTGTCCAGAGTTACCATATGGTAAGATGGGTAGCCAGTAAATTTTATAAATAAATAATAAAATAAATTTCTCAGGAAATCAGTCTTTAAGCATTAATTCTTCCTCTCTTATGATATTTATAAATTGGGGCTGGACAGAGATCCAGATCAGGAAAGGTGATGCTGAGACGACAGTGGCCTGATTTTAGGAGTGATGTATTTGTCCACTTAATGTAAGAATCACCATTTGCCCCACAAATTCAGACTTCCGCATATCCCTAATATAAAAGTTATTATATGTATGCCACCCCAAATAATTGCTTTTCCTTACAGTCCCATCCACTTTAGAAAACCATGTCCAATTCTTGTCTTCTCCATCTTAAGTTTCTTTTCTAGTCTGTCCACAATATAAGAAGTACTGAAATATGAGATCCGGTTTACAGTGTTATCTGAACCTAGTCCAAATTTTTAAAGCATTTATCAATTCCTATTCCAAACTGCATGGAGAGGTGGTAGTGGCAGAACGACTACATAGTGAGATTTTATTATTGTCAAGAAATTGCTAAGAAACTGAAGTAGTTCTTGGGTGTTATTGAAAGTAGAGTTTTTTAAAAAAAACAAAAACAAAACAATGAAATGTATTGAGATGAAATATTTCAGATAACTTTTATCGGTCATTGTGATGTAAAAGTGAATGTTATTTTCAATTTCAAATGTTCAGACTAAATTAGATTCTAGCAGGCCTCCTTTTTTCCCTTCATATAATACTCTTTTTATTCTTTCTTTCCTTTCTTTCCTATAATACATATTTCAGAGATATCTATAATTTTCTTCTAACTGCATCTTCTAGTTATTTCCTGTGTAATATTTTCCCTATTTCCCTTTTCTCTGACTAAAAAAAAATTGCCTAAATTATTTTGCTGTATTTATGATTCATTTTTCCAAATCTACCCTGAAAATCAGTTTTAGCTTCTTCCAAATATATATATGTCTTTAAAACATTGGTTTACATTTATTATTTTTGTACAGCCTTATAAATATTACATCACATTCCTATTAATCATTCCTTTGATTAATATGGATTGGTAAACATCTTTATTTCACCAATTCATTTGTAAAGGTAACTAAAAAGTGTCAATTTGAATTTTGAAAATAATTGCAAATAATCCATGTTTCTGAGCAATTTAGCAAACAAATGTTTTATTTCCATTGTAGCTGGAATATACTGGTTTGATTTCTTTTTTTTTCTTTTTTTTATTGAAAGTTTTTTAAATTTTACAAAACAAATCCCCTCCCCAAACCCCCCCACCATCCCCCACCTCCCCAAACCTCCCAAACCCTCCCAGAGCTGAGTACAGGCTTAATTAAAATTTTTCAGAAAAAGAAAAGAAAAACTTAAAACACATATAAATCCTAAACAAATCTAAATACATTAAATTAAATAGATTATCTTCTCTAAAAATAATAATTGCAATCATTAAACACATTATAATATACTCTAAACATTTTCTAGTATCATACTTATATTATTATCCATCATTCTGTATAAACTCCCCCCAAAACACAAATTTAAACATTACTTTCTTTGAATATCTATACCTACAATATAAAATCTAATCTCTCCCTCTTTCTTTATCCTAGAACACAAAAATAAACATATAAACCTTCATTATACCATTAAAACTAAATACTCTTTGAATACTTAAACTAAATACTTAAACTTAAACTTCTTATCTAAGATTTTCATTCAATCTCCATAATCTTCTCTCCTATAAAAAAAAACTTAAAAGACATATAAATCCTAAACAAATCTAGGTACATTTAATTAAACAAGTTATCTTCTCTTATAATAATAATAATAATAATAATAATAATAATAATAATAATAATAATAATAATAATAAACCCAATCATTAAACACATTATAATATACTCTGAACATTTTCATATCATACTTATATTATTATCCATCATTCTTTATAAACTCCCTCCAAAACACAAATTTGAACATTACTTAAAACATTAAAATTCCCTTATACACATTTAAATCTTTACCAATAACAAATTCCATCCACAATAAACACATTCCTTATCAGTCTCTCTTGTCCATAAACCATTAAAATTCCCTTATACACATTTAAATCTTTACCAATAACAAATTCCATCCACAATAAACACATTCCTTATCAGTCTCTCTTGTCCATAAACCTCAAAAGAAGTGCTTTGAAAACTGCCCTTAAAGCTAACTCCAAAAAGTTTATAAATCTTGCTTCTCCCACAGACTCAGTACTCTTTTGAATACTTAAACTAAGTACTTAAACTTAAACTTCTTATCTAGAATTTTCATTCGATCTCCATCCTTGTTAGTCTCTCTTATCCATAAATCTCGAAAGAAGTGCTTTGAAATCTGCCCTTAAAGGTAGCTCCAAAAAGTTTATAAATCCTGCTTCTCCCACAGACTCAGGAGCCAATACTTGTGAGGCTTCCTTAAACTCCTTCTTCTGTTGCTCTTTTTCTTTACGATTGTATGTTGCACGAGTTGTCCTCTGCTCCTTCATCTCGACTTGTTGAGGCCCCTCGAACTGAGATTTCCCATTTTTCATTAATATAGGCTCTTCAGACTGCAGTTCTACCCTTAAAGGTTGCTCCAAAAAATTTATAAATCCTACTTCTCCTGCAGATTCAGAAACCAATAGTTGTGAGGCTTCCTTAACCTTCTTCTGTTGCTCCTTTTCTTTACAGTTATATGTTGCACAGGTTATCCTCTGCTCCTCCATCTCAACTTGTTGAGGCCCCTCAAACTGAGGTTTCCCAATTTTCATAAGTATAGGCTCTTCAGACTGCAATTCTACCTTCTTTTCTTCCAAAACTTTAAACTTAATAGATGGCGATGAACATACCCCCAGGACCGAAGTATAAAAGTCTTTTGCTTGAGAAACAGTATTAAGTCTATAACATATCCCCAGGTAGTTCACCACCA